GTGGCGGCTGTAAAAAGTCTCCCCGTACATTTAATCAATGATGTTATATTTTCGATCCTTGAAGATCGTTCAGCACGACATTATTGTTGTGCTTGTGGTATTTTTAGTTTCAACTTTTCGGCATTTTCTAGTTGGGTGGTTCCAATATTCCTCCTTGAATAATGTTGAATCACCCTTAGGATATGTTGCCTGCTTTTTAAATTTGTCTTTTGACGTCTTATCTGTGATACGCAGGCTTCATAACCTCTGATCCCCTTTCAAAATTCCATTTTATTTAGTTCCGCCCATTGTTTTCTCGTTTAGGGCACATGCTTTTTATTACTTGGGGACCATACGCCGCTTTTCATGGAATGGCACGGAAGTGTCACATTGAAGGTTCCATGATAACCGCCGTATGAACACATCTGCGGATGTTTCTAAATTCAAAATTTTACTATTTCACGTTTAAATGTTGAATTCTGCTTAAGCCGGTGCTAGGGGGCGTGGACGGTAACTTGCACATTCCAGTACCGTTCATGAACAGGCTCAATCAAACCGAGCCTGCAACATTTTCAATTTTGCCGTGTTGGGCTTTCTTTAGGGATTCTGTATTTATCTATTTTACCTTGGTAAAGTTGAAGTTTGGTTGAGATTTTATTCAGTCATACTGCTACTGGAGGGAATCAAATGAGATGCGCGCCGGACCATGTCGTATAAATCAGTCTTTAAAGCGCAAAAAATTAATGCACTTAACAAAAAATTAAAATACTCATTAACATATCGACCTATTCACAACAGGTCAAAAAGGGAAGGGAATCCATATGAATGGGTGGGATTTGATTCCCTCCAGTAGCAGTATGACTGAATAAAATCTCATCCAAACTTCAACTTTACCAAAATCTGGAAACAAAGTGATCCCTCGGAAGCATTAATCACAACAAAATTACATAAGAATTGCAGACTCGGTTTGATTGAGTCTGTACATGAGGGATAATGAATAAGTGCAACATCCCTCACGCCCCCTAGCACCGGCTTGAGCGGTACTCAATTCTCAACACTCAATAGTGCTGGCATCAATGATCCCGAAGGACCAGAAAAATATAACAACACTGAAGTGAAGTACGGGGCAACTTTTTACAGCTGCCACACAGCACTTGACACCTGCTGTTGTGAAGTATAAAAATCTGGAAACAAAGTGATCCCTCGGAAGCATTAATCACAACAAAATTACATAAGAATTGCAGACTCGGTTTGATTGAGTCTGTACATGAGGGATAATGAATAAGTGCAACATCCCTCACGCCCCTAGCACCGGCTTGAGCGGTACTCAATTCTCAACACTCAATAGTGCTGGCATCAATGATCCCGAAGGACCAGAAAAATATAACAACACTGAAGTGAAGTACGGGGCAACTTTTTACAGCTGCCACACAGCACTTGACACCTGCTGTTGTGAAGTATAAAAATCTGGAAACAAAGTGATCCCTCGGAAGCATTTATCACAACAAAATTGCATGGAACTTGAAGACTCGATTTGATTGAGTCTGTACATGAGGGATAATGAATAAGTGCAACATACATCATGCCCCCTCCCACCGTACTCTCTTTTCAACATTTAAAAGTGATAGAATCAATGATCCCGAGGGGCAAGAAAAAATATAACAACACTGAGTGAAGTCCCGGGCAACTGTTTTACGGATACCACACATAACTTGACACCTTCTGTTGTGAAGTATAAAAATCTGGAAGCAAAGTGATCCCTCGGAAGCATTAATCACAACAAAATTACATAAGAATTGCAGACTCGGTTTGATTGAGTCTGTACATGAGGGATAATGAATAAGTGCAACATCCCTCACGCCCCCTAGCACCGGCTTGAGCGGTACTCAATTCTCAACACTCAATAGTGCTGGCATCAATGATCCCGAAGGACCAGAAAAATATAACAACACTGAAGTGAAGTACGGGGCAACTTTTTACAGCTGCCACACAGCACTTGACACCTGCTGTTGTGAAGTATAAAAATCTGGAAACAAAGTGATCCCTCGGAAGCATTAATCACAACAAAATTACATAAGAATTGCAGACTCGGTTTGATTGAGTCTGTACATGAGGGATAATGAATAAGTGCAACATCCCTCACGCCCCCTAGCACCGGCTTGAGCGGTACTCAATTCTCAACACTCAATAGTGCTGGCATCAATGATCCCGAAGGACCAGAAAAATATAACAACACTGAAGTGAAGTACGGGGCAACTTTTTACAGCTGCCACACAGCACTTGACACCTGCTGTTGTGAAGTATAAAAATCTGGAAAACAAAGTGATCCTCGGAAGCATTAATCACAACAAAATTACATAAAATTGCAGACTCGGTTTGATTGAGTCTGTACATGAGGATAATGAATAAGTGGCAACATCCCTCACGCCCTCTTAGCACCGGCTTGAGCGGTACTCAATTCTCAACACTCAATAGTGCTGGCATCAATGATCCCGAAGGACCAGAAAAATATAACAACACTGAAGTGAAGTACGGGGCAACTTTTTACAGCTGCCACACAGCACTTGACACCTGATGTTGTGAGTATAAAATCTGGAAACAAAGTGATCCCTCGGAAGCATTAATCACAACAAAATTACATAAGAATTTGCAGACTCGGTTTGATTGAGTCTGTACATGAGGGATAATGAATAAGTGCAAGCACATCCCGGTCTTCCAGCCGCCTGAGCAGCCGGCGGCGCGCCCGCATCTTTGAAGTCGGCTGACATTGCAGTTAAACTTTTATATACGCAATTCTCTCATAAAGGTATCAGCTCAACTGATGCTGGACGTGAGATGCGGATGGCTATCCTGTTATGTGCATGAGTGGAGAAGTTACTTCAATGATCCGGCGACATGAAACCAAATAGTCAGACCGACACTGAAGTGAATCGCTAAGGCGGGCGGTGAGGGGATAGACTTGGGCACACTTGTTCTTATACATGCATGCCTCACAGCACTTGACACCTGCTGTTGTGAAGTATGACAAGATTGTGGAACAACGTTGATTAGTTAGTGGCCGTTCGGGATAGCTGGTGACGTTGGATAGACGCCGGCTTCATACAGAGTTGTGGTAAGTGCAGGCGTTGAGGTTCGGCTAACTAGCAGCGGTCGATGTTTAACGATTGCGGACACACGGGAGATGTCAGTGTATTTGAGAAAAGTAGCGGGCCTCGTAATCATTAAACGAGGACTACGTGAGTGCTTAGACGTGCGTCATGCAGCTACGCAACAGCTTGCTACTAGGGCGTTCGATACTAAGACAGATCTGGAGTAGCTAGGCCATACTGTGGACGAGAAGGACTAAGTATTACACGTATTAATATGTGGCGGGTAGTAGTGGAGATTTGGTAAGGTTCCAACGCTATTCGGGGTGAAAGCACATAGTAACTTTCACAACAAATCAATTCTAACACTGGTGATAAAGAATTAGGGTCAGGACTCGTTTGATGATGTCTCTTTGTACATTGAGGGATATGAATAGAGTTGCATAACATCACGCTCATCGCCTCTATGGCAGTTGGTCTTTGTTGAGAGATGTTGATACTCACATATTTCTCAACAGCTACACAATAGTGCTGCAATCCAATGATCCTCGAAATGCGAGCAGAGAAAAGTATATACAACACTGAAGTGGAAGGTACGAATGGGCACTTTTTACAGCTGCCTAGCCATACAGTTTGTTTCCCCACAGATTTTTTAACTCCTTCACAACATCAACAACACAGGCAGGTGCAGCATCTTGACAACGGTTTGCTGTCTCTTGTGAAGTATAGAAATATCTGGAAACAGAAGTGATCCGTCGGAAGCATGTAAAATCGGAGCATACGTTAAATTACATAAAGAACTATGCAGACTTCTGGTAGGGTCAAACATTCTGGAAACACAGTTGATTCCCCTGCGGAAGCATTTTAATCACAAAAGTAACATAAGAATTTTGCACTCAGACACGTCGGTGTTGTATGATGTCGTTACATTATGAGGGGATAATGATGAGTGCAACATCCCTATTTATTTCGTCCGGGCGCCCTTACTGCACTCCGGCCAGGCTTGAGGGTACTTCAATTGATATCTGCCCTCTTCAAGTGTCTTCGTAGCCAATCACTTTTGATAGTATGTGGTTTGGCATCATTGGCACGCTGAAGGAATCAGACAATATATAATAACACACTGAAGGTGAAGTACGCGGCGCAAACTTATTTACGGGCCTGCGGGTCCGGGTTACAACGGCAAGCTTGGTGGAACACCGAGTGCGGTATGTGGTGTGGTATAAGTTACATAAATTCTGGAAAAAATGTGATCTTCCACTCGGAAGTAGCAGATTACTCCATCAACAAACTCAAAACATGAAGATCAAAAAACCGAATTGTCAGTGCAAATTTTTGGAATTGTGACATTTGAGTCTGTACATGAGGGATAATGAATGAGTGCAACATCCCTCACGCCCCCTAGCACCGAAGTCTCGTTTAGTTTGGGGATTTTATTACGTCATACTACTGTCGGTCTCAAATGACACTTCAAAGCTGTTAAGGCATTAAGCAATACGAAGTAGGCATAATACTTATACCATAATTTAAAATAAATCAAAATACCTGATAACTGTAATTAAAAGTCTGTATACTGTTTCATCTAAATTTATTCTTGAAGCACTGCCCTTGCGAAACTACCCTTGTCTTCATTGATGTGTATAGATTTATCATAAAATTGACCGAAAGTCTTTATATTAAACCATCCAGCAATCGACAAAATATGTTCTATAGGGACATTCCTTGCTTTTGCTCTAGATGTTACTGACCCTCGAATACTATGTGGCTTAAAAATATTAGTGTCAATTCCTGAAGCACATAAACTGTCTTAAGCCATCTACTGACTGTATCCCTTGACTCATTACGATATGGTTTAATATAACTAATAAAAAGAGCTGTTATGTTTCCACGAATAGACTGTGTGCAATTTAAGTATTCCTTCAAGACAAAAGTTACACAAAGACGCCTGTCAGGCGGATATGACCTCAACACTGCCTGTGTATTATCAGAACCTGGTCGAGAATGTTTTAAAACATCACTGTACAATAAAATAACAGAATCCTTCTGCTTCTTCATATTTCTTATATCAAGAAGATGAATTGCCTGAGTCCTACAAGCAAGTGTTAATGCAATAAGCATAACTAATTTCAAAGTTAATAACTTCAGTGATAAACTTTTCACTGGCGATAAAGACCTTAAATATTTTAAAACCACTGAAACATCCCATGTTTCTTTATAACGAGGTACAGATGGCCTCAAATTGTAAACACCTTTCATAAATCTTATGACAACGGATGAGATCCTGCTGCAAATCCATCCACAAGAATGCCAATCGCTGAAAGTGAGCTACGGGCAGTATTAATTCCACTATAACCAATGCCAGATTCAAAAAGTTGAGTTAAAAACTCTAAAACATAATTTACAGAAGAACAAATGGTACTAATTTTCCCCTCATTACAGAACTGAAACCACTTTTTGACTGTTGAGTTATACTGTTTTCGTGTTCTATGTCTCCATGAGGATAAGATTATGTCAACAGTTTTCTGATGGAAGTTTTCTTGAAGAGAGAGATCTCCTGATAACTTGCATGCTATTAGCACTATTTTGTCGCTTAAAACATGATTCTTGTCTGTTCCTGGGAGAATTAGTTATTTTTTCTTGCGTGGAAGAATAACTGGAAAGTCAATCAAAAGATTCATCAAAGGAGTCCACCAATTCTGAGTGGTCCGTCGAGGACAAACAATCAAACATGTTGCCTTGTCTAGGCGAATTTTCTGCAGACATTTCATGATCAAACTGAAAGGTGGAAAAATATATGAATATTCAGATGACCAATTTAAAGAAAAGCATTGACATATTTGGCCTCTGGATCTGGGTACCAAGATACAAATTTATCTATTTGTTTGTTAAGCCTAGACGCAAACAAATCAATAGTAGGATTACCCCATTGATCAATCAATTTCAGAAAAATTGTTCTATCTAGCATCCACTCTACATTTCCATTAAATTTACGAGAACAAATATCAGCTACATTAGTTCTTCCTGAAATATAAGAGGCTGACAACTAAATACTTCTATCTATACACCACAACCAAATTTGCTTTGCAAGATCATTACATAACATAGACTTAATTCCACCCATTGCATTTATGTAAGCCATTGCACAAGTATTGTCAGTTTGAATTCTGATGTGAACATTTCTCATGTCTTTACAAAATGCTTTCAATGCATAATAAATAGCCAAAGTTTCTAAATAATATATGTGGTTATCAGCTTCTTTTTCTGTCCATCTACCACCAATTGACAAATTATCTTTCACCGCCCCATATTCATGAGACGACGCGTCGGTGGTTATAAAAACAGAAGGACTATCATGAGTAATATGTCTCTTTTGTGAACGCAAATTACAAATCCACCAAAGTAACTCAGATTTCATAGACAGAGATATCTGCATAAAAGCATCAAAATTACCAAAATTTATCTTCAACAGCTCAATTTTCTGCCATTCAATGTGCCGATAATGCAACGGCCCATACTCAACTGCAGAAAAACTTGCAACTAGTAAACCAAATACTCTGGCCACTTTCCTTATAGGAACACTTTCTCGTGACCAGATATATAAGCACTCAGAAACTATTTCAGCAACTTTTTCTGATGGTAAAGTAACCAACATATTTTCAGAGTCAATAGCAAATCCTAAAAACCGTATCTTTTGTGTAGGGACCAGCACTGATTTCTTATCATGAATAATAAATCCAAGATAGGACATTAAACTCACTGTATCGTCAATATTGTGTTGACAAAGTGAAAAAGTGCTGCCTAGAAGTAAAGAATCATCAATATAACCTGTATTAACATGACCTTTCTGTCTTAATGTTGAGTAAACAGGCTTATGTCAGGTTTGGTAATACCCTATTTAAACAGATCATAGGAATTCCTATGGGTACTAATTGTGCACCCCTGGTCGCCGATTTGTTTTTGTACTGCTATGAAAGAGACTTTATGTTGAGTCTCTCGGAAGAGAAACAACAAGATGTTATAGTCGCATTTAATAATACTTCCAGATACCTTGATGATATTTTTAATTTAGATAATCCTTATTTTGATCAAATGGTGTCTGACATTTATCCGCATGAACTACAACTTAATAAAACGAACTCTTGAAATTTTAGTACATCATTTTTGGATCTTCATATTACTATCGAACAATAATTCTATTCACACGAAAAATTTATGATAAAAGAGATGACTTTGACTTTTGTATAGTTAATTATCCACATTTGGATGGAGACGTACCCCATGCAACATCCTACGGGGTTTATGTTTCTCAGTTAATTAGATTCGCTAGAGCTTGTAACAACGTAAAGGATTTCAACGAGCGGAATATTTTTATTACCAGCAAGCTTCTAAAAACAGGGCTACCGCTATCATAAATTACGGAAATATTTTACTAAATTTTACAATCGTAACTTTGATTTAATTTCTAAATTCAATAGTGATTTAAAAACTCTTCTGCGACAAGGGATTAGCCAGCCTGGATTTTATGGCGATGTGGTTTACAAACTTCGTAAGATTTTGGGTCATGGTAATTTTTCTGCTGTTTTTTACTAAAATTATTAAACGTTTTATTAAAAGAGGTTATGACCCTACTATTTTAAGACATACTGCATGTTTAGTGTTCAACCCTTTTACGGTTGGACACTGCGCTTTCCTCTTTTGATTGCATCTGACGGACCAAGTGGGAGACTCTATGATGGATAGTTCGTAAAGCCCTTTGGGACTGAATTGTCTTAATGTTCGTCTTCTGCCTTGCTTCGTCGGGCCCTTGTAGGTGATTTTCTTGTTGCTCTGTCTTCCTTTAGGACATTGAGTACTTTTGTTATGGTCATTGGGTTTACTTTTATATGTTTCTACATGATCATTTTAGTGTTTTTACTTATTTAACCTTTTGTAACCATGACAACTGTTAGAATTTCACTTGGCGGGGATTCATTTATATTTACACTGTCTCGTTTATAGGAACATGGTGGGGCTAAGAGCGAGGTTTGGTGCACCATTAACCGGTTTAAACTCCCCAGCAGTCATTATTATGCTGCTGACCGTTCCAAGGCGGCGCCCCACTGTGTTCCTCAGATGTATGTCTATGTTGTTTCATACTGTTTTGGTGACACTTTTGCTTGTGTCCCTTGTTGTTTTCTCGTCTACGGTAAGTATCTTCCCCATTGCCTCTAGTTTTTATTTCTTTGATTAACCCCCCCCCCTTCCCCCGGTCTCCTGTCCCCTTCCCCTTTGTGGGCCTATTATTATTTTCTTTGGGTTCCTAGTCAGTTACAAATTATTTATCATTTATTGATTAACGTGTCGTTGCCCTGTCCTTTTTATGTTTGGGGTCCGCCTGGGCTCCTTGCCATTGGTTTTTGTTGCTGGGTCATATGGGGGCAACGTTCATTGAACGCCGCCTTTCCTTGTTGATCTTGTTTTTCATATTTCATCAATTTAGTAAATAAACGAGGGGCTGATGAAATACCATTTGGAAGAGCAGTGTATTGGTAAAATATGAAAAACAAGATCAACAAGAAAGGCGGCGTTCAAATGAAACGCAACCCCATATGACCCAGCAACAAGAACCAATGGCAAGGAGCCCAGGCGGACCCCAAACATAAAAAGGACAGGGCAACGACACGTTTAATCAATAAATGATAAATAATTTGTAACTGATTAGGAATTCAAAGAAAATAATAATAGACCCACAAAGGGGAAGGGGACAGGAGACCGGGGGAAGGGGGGGGGGTTAATCAAAGAAATAAAAACTAGAGGCAATGGGGAAGATACTTACCGTAGACGAGAAAACAACAAGGGACACAAGCAAAAGTGTCACCAAAACAGTATGAAACAACATAGACATACATCTGAGGAACACAGTGGGGCGCCGCCTTGGAACGGTCAGCAGCATAATAATGACTGCTGGGGTGTTTAAACCGGTTAATGGTGCACCAAACCTCGCTCTTAGCCCCACCATGTTCCTATAAACGAGACAGTGTAAATAAAATGAATCCCCGCCAAGTGAAATTCTAACAGTTGTCATGGTTACAAAAGGTTAAATAAGTAAAACACTAAAATGATCATGTAGAAACATATAAAAGTAAACCCAATGACCATAACAAAAGTACTCAATGTCCTAAAGGAAGACAGAGCAACAAGAAAATCACCTACAAGGGCCCGACGAAGCAAGGCAGAAGACGAACATTAAGACAATTCAGTCCCAAAGGGCTTTACGAACTATCCATCATAGAGTCTCCCACTTGGTCCGTCAGATGCAATCAAAAGAGGAAAGCGTAGTATCCAACTGTAAAAGGGTTGAACACTAAACATGCAGTATGTCTTAAAATAGTAGGGTCATAACCTCTTTTAATAAAACGTTTAATGATTTTAGTAAAAACAGCAGAAAAATTACCATGACCCAAAATCTTACGAAGTTTGTAAATCACATCGCCATAAAAACCAGGCTGGCTAATCCCTTGTCGCAGAAGAGTTTTTAAATCACTATTGAATTTGGAAATTAAATCAAAGTTACGATCCACGCCAGAGAGGTAACTGGATTAGAATAGATAAATACAGAATCCCTAAAGAATAGATAAATACAAAATCCCTAAAGAGAGCCCAACACGGCAAAATTGAAAATGTTGCAGGCTCGGTTTGATTGAGCCTGTTCATGGACGGTACTGGAAAGTGCAAGTTACCGTCCACGCCCCCTAGCACCGGCTTAAGCAGAATTCAACATTTAAACATGAAATGGTAAAATTTGGTATTTAGAAACATCCGCAGATGTGTTCATACGGCGGTTATCATGGAACCTTCAATATGACACAGTAGTGCCATTCCATGAAAAGCGGCGTATGGTCCCCAAGTAATAAAAAGCGTGTGCCCTAAACGAGAAAACAATAGGCGGAACTAAATAAAATGGAATTTTGTAAGGGGATCGGAGGTATCTGCGTATCACAGATAAGACGTCAAAAGACAAAGTTTAAAAAAAGCAGCAACATATCCTAAGGGTGATTAAACATTATTCAAGTAGGAATATGGGAACCACCCAAAAAGAAAATTTCAAGAAGTTGAAACTAAAAATTCCACAAACACAACAAAAATTTCGTGCTGAAGGATCTTCAAGGATCGAAAATATAACATCATTGATTAAATGTACGGGGAGACTTTTTACAGCCGCCACACGGCACAAATAACACGGATGTGATCATGAAATAGAAATATACAGAATCCCTAAAGAAAGCCCAACACGGCAAAATTGAAAATGTTGCAGGCTCGGTTTGATTGAGCCTGTTCATGGACGGTACTGGAAAGTGCAAGTTACCGTCCACGCCCCCTAGCACCGGCTTAAAAACTTAAAAAATCTTCTTTTAAAGAACCCAAAGAGCTAGAGCTAAGATATTTAGCATGAAACATCCTCTAATGGGTGTCTACAAAGTTTGTTCAAATTAAAGCCCTGGGGTCAAAATTGGCCCCGCCCCAGGGGGTCATTGATTTTCCCTATATGCATATAGTAAAAACGTAAAAAATCTTCTTTTAAAAAACCCAAAGAGCTAGAGCTAAGATATTTAACATGAAACATCCTCTAATGGGTGTCTACCAAGATTGTTCAAATAAAAGCCCTTGGGTCGAAATTGGGCCCGCCCCAGGGGGTTATTGATTTTCCCTATATGCATATAGTAAAAACTTAAAAAATCTTCTTTTAAAGAACCCAAAGAGCTAGAGCTAAGATATTTAGCATGAAACATGTTCTAATGGTGTCTACCAAGTTTGTTCAAATAAGAGCCCTGGGGTCAAAATTGGCCCCGCCCCGGGGGTCATTGTATTTCCTTATATGTGTATAACAAAAACTTTAAAAATCCTCTTTGAAAAAAACCAAATAGCTAGAGTTTAGATACTAAGCATGAAACACCTTCTAGTGAGTGTCTACCAAGATTGTTGTAATAAAAGGCCTGGTGTCAAAATTGGCCCCGCCCCGGGGGTCATTCATTTTCCTTTTATGTGTATAACAAAAACTTAAAAAAATCTTCTTTGAAAAAACTCAAATAGCTAGAGTTTAGATATTATACACGAAGCATCTTCTAGTGAGTGTCTACAAAGCTTGTATCTCGTGATAAATATCTCGCACGAGATAAATAAAAACGCATAAATGTCACCTCTGTGTGACCGTAAAAATATTCCATCCTATAACTTGTAATCAGAGATGCTAGGATACACTGAATATTTATTTCAATATTAAAATGGGACAAATTCACAAGTCTTTTCGTTATACCACGAAATTATCAAAAGTAAGTAATAGAAAGAGCATCGAAACACGAGGCTATCTGATTCGTACGAGGGGGCGTAGCCCCGAGTATAATATTAATCAGATTGCCGAGCGTTTTGATGTTCTTTCTCTTTTGTATCATAGTCAAACATAAAAACACGTTCCCTGTTGTCAAAGTATGAAACCCCAGAAAAAATAACCAATGAACGGGCATCTGAATATGATTTTTCTGTCGCTTTCCCTTTATCTTCTGTCACAATAAGTAACCCCAGCAAAAATGAGCCAATCAATGGACATGCTCTGGAGTGCGGGTAACTAATACCTGCACTCCAGTTAACGCACTGTGCATGTATATGAATACGATTTTTCAACAGAAAGGTCCCCAAACTATGATACAAACTTTGTATACACTAGTCTTGGTAAATGATTTGGATTTTCTACAACCCAATATAGTCCTTCAAAGAATTTTCTATAACCCAATATAGTCCTTCAAAAAAAGAAGGCACATACTTACTGTTCAGTTTTCTTAAAAGAAACCCATGTATCGCATTCTAGTACTGACTACTGAATGTAAAACAAATGCGTAAGAATACATGGATCATATTGGATGAAAAAATATTGTTAACTCTCTAGTGACTACTGTTTTGATCCAAATATCCTGGAAATTGGTCTGAAAGTTTGTTTTGATGATTTCTAGGTCAAGTTTGAATATGAATTACCTTAAGTCAAAAACTAGGTCACGCAAGCCCAAATATGTAAAAACCTTGTTAACACTCTAGTGGTCACATTCTTTGCCACAATCTTCATCAAACATTTGTCAGGATGCTTGTCTAAGTAATTGCTGGGACGAGTTCGAACACTCTAGTGGCTACTGTTATCCTGGAAATTGGGTGTGAAATTTTGTTTTGATGATTTTTAGGTCAGGTTCGAGTATGGGTTATCTGGGGTCAAAAAACTAGGTCACATCGCACAAATATAGAAAAACCTTGTTAACACTTATGGTCAAATTTTTGACTCAATTGTCATTAAAATTGGACAGGATGTTTGTCTAAGTCACTGGTACTTGTTGCTGGGTCGTGTGGGGGTAGCGTTTATTGAACGCCGCCTTTCCTTGTTGATCATGTTTATCATATTATTTGTCAGGTCGATTGTCTAGTTAATGGCTCAGAGAAGGTAATGGGCCATCTCTGATGTAAAACTAGGTCACAGGAGCTAAAGTAAGAAAAACCTTGTTAACTCTCCAGTGGCTAATATATTAATTCAAATATCCTCGAAATTCGTCAGCAAGTTTGTCGTAATGATTTGTAGTCCACGTTCGAATATGGTAACCATCCTCTAAAGGTCACATTTTGACTCTATTGTCATCAAACTTGGTCAGGATGTTTGTATAAGTCTAAGTAACTGCTGAGTTCGATGGGTAATGTGAGAGATTTAGGCCCTCTTGTTTAATACAATAACGACTTTAATTTAAAAAAAAAATAACATTTAGTATTAAATTATCAATCGATTAGCTGTCAGTTGGACGTCAAAATAAAATATGGTAAACAAGATCAATACTATTTATCTTCCTTCTTTCTTTCTTTTTTTACGCTGCACCAACACAAAATAGATCATATGCGATTCTTGAGCCTGCAACATTTTCAATTTTGCCGTGTTGGGCTTTCTTTAGGGATTCTGTATTTATCTATTTTATGATCACATCCGTGTTATTTGTGCCGTGTGGCGGCTGAAAAAAGTCTCCCCGTACATTTAATCAATGATGTTATATTTTCGATCCTTGAAGATCGTTCAGCACGACATTATTGTTGTGCTTGTGGTATTTTTAGTTTCAACTTTTCGGCATTTTCTAGTTGGGTGGTTCCAATATTCCTACTTGAATAATGTTGAATCACCCTTAGGATATGTTGCCTGCTTTTTAAATTTGTCTTTTGACGTCTTATCTGTGATACGCAGGCTTCATAACCTCTGATCCCCTTTCAAAATTCCATTTTATTTAGTTCCGCCCATTGTTTTCTCGTTTAGGGCACACGCTTTTTATTACTTGGGGACCATACGCCGCTTTTCATGGAATGGCACGGAAGTGTCACATTGAAGGTTCCATGATAACTGCCGTATGAACACATCTGCGGATGTTTCTAAATTCAAAATTTTACTATTTCACGTTTAAATGTTGAATTCTGCTTAAGCCGGTGCTAGGGGCGTGGACGGTAACTTGCACTTTCCAGTACCGTCCATGAACAGGCTCAATCAAACCGAGCCTGCAACATTTTCAATTTTGCCGTGTTGGGCTTTCTTTAGGGATTCTGTATTTATCTATTTTATGATCACATCCGTGTTATTTGTGCCGTGTGGCGGCTGTAAAAAAGTCTCCCCGTACATTTAAATCAATGATGTTATATTTTTCGATCCTTGAAGATCGTTCAGCACGACATTATTGTTGTGCTTGTGGTATTTTTAGTTTCAACTTTTCGGCATTTTCTAGTTGGGTGGTTCCAATATTCCTACTTGAATAAATGTTGAATCACCTTAGGATATGTTGCCTGCTTTTTAAATTTGTCTTTTGACGTCTTATCTGTGATACGCAGGCTTCATAACCTCTGATCCCTTTTCAAAATTCCATTTTTATTTAGTTCCGCCCATTGTTTTCTCGTTTAGGGCACACGCTTTTTATTACTTGGGGACCATACGCCGCTTTTCATGGAATGGCACGGAAGTGTCACATTGAAGGTTCCATGATAACCGCCGTATGAACACATCTGCGGATGTTTCTAAATTCAAAATTTTACTATTTCACGTTTAAATGTTGAATTCTGCTTAAGCCGGTGCTAGGGGGCGTGGACGGTAACTTGCACTTTCCAGTACCGTCCATGAACAGGCTCAATCAAACCGAGCCTGCAACATTTTCAATTTTGCCGTGTTGGGCTTTCTTTAGGGATTCTGTATTTATCTATTTTAAGCCGTGCTCTGCCTTGTGCCCTTTCCTGTTTGGGGTCCTCTTGGGCTCCTTGCCGCTGGCTCTTGTTGCTGGGTTGGGTGGGGGCTGCGTTCATTGAACGCCGCCTTTCCTTGATGATCTTGTTTATCATATTTTAATCAAAAAATATGATAAACAAGATCAACCAGGAAAGGCGGCGTTCAATGAACGCAACCCCCATATGACCCAGCAACAAGAACTAGAGGCAAGGAGCCCAGGCGGACCCCAAACAAAAACAGGATAGGGCACAAGTCAGCACGGACAGTTTAATCACTAAATGATAAATAATTTGTAACTGATTAGGAACAAACAATTATCATAGTATTGCAAGCAATCCATAAGTCCCCTGCCGGTTAAAACCCCAGCAACATTCTGAAGGGCCATTGGCCATTCACTTATGTCTCTATTTTAAGTAAATTTGTTGAAAAAGTTCTTTACAAGTGATCACAGGAAACAGTTTTTATGTACAGACAGACAGACGGACTGAAGGGCACTCTAATTTTTTTTTTAATCCCTGTTATCAAAATGTAACATTTTTAAAAGCAAAATTCTTAAAAAAGGAGATAACACTTGAAATAAAGATGCAAGACGTCATACACGATGTGAGTGTAACAAAGAACAATTAGTAATTAAGGTGTTGATAATGAATGTTTATTTTGAATTTGAAGTAAAAGAAAGTTTAAAAAAACAATATTTTTGTCATGAAAATTCAAGTTCAAGGGAGGAAATTCTGATAAATTTTGTACTAGAGTTGTAAACCTTGTCACATATGATGTGGTTGATGACTAGAAAGTTTGGAGAAAATACCTTAAGAAATAAAGAACTTAAAGTGAAAAAAAGGTAAAAACAAGAATCAGAAATCTTGAAATTCAGTCTATTTGTTGCCATATCAACCAGATTTTTCAACATAGGAAGAAAAGAAAAGAATGTGCATAATCTCCAGACTGACATCTACCCATATTTCAAGTTTCATAAAAATATTTTCAGTACTTTTTGCGTTATCACTGGATCCAGGTTATGTGTAAAATTTGCCATATTTTCAGTCTATTTGTTGCCATAGCAACCAGAATTTTCAACACAGGAAAAAAAGAAAGAGACGTGCATAATCTTCATACTGCCATCTATCCATATATCAAGTTTCATAAAAATATTTTCAGTACTTTTTGCATCATCACTTGATCCTGGTTATGTGTAAAATTTGCCATAATTTCAGGTTATTTGTTGCCATAGCAACCAGAATTTTAAACATAGGAAGAAAAAAAAAGACGTACATAATCTCCATACTGCCATCTAATTCCATCAGTAATTTTTGCGTTATCGCGGGATCCAGTTTTGTGGACGGACTGACGGACGAACGGAGGGTAAACCTAAAGTCCCCTCCGGTAAACAGGTAGGGGACTAATTAAAAGAAAACATAGGCCCACAAAGTCAAAGGGCACAGGGAAGGGACAGGAGACAGAGGAAAGGGGGGGGGGGGGGGGGTAATCAAAATAAAAACTAGGGGTGAAGGGGGAAGATACTTGCCGTAGACGAGAAAACAACAAGGGACACAAGCAAAAGTGTCACCAAAACAGTATGAAACAACATAGACATACATCTAAGGAACACAGTGGGGCGCCGCCTTGGAACGGTCAACAGCATTATAATGACCGCTGGGGAGTTTAAACCGGTTAATTGTGCACCAAACCTCGCTCTTAGCCCAACCATGTTCCTATAAACGAGACAGTGTAAATAAATTGAATCCCCGCCAAGTGAAATTCTAACAGTTGTTATGGTTACAAAAGGTTAAATAAGTAAAACACCTAAATGATCATGTAGAAACATATAAAAGTAAACCCAATGACCATAAAAAAAGTACTCAATGTCCTAAAGGAAGACAGAGGAACAAGAAAATCACCTACAAGGGCCCGACGAAGCAAGGCAGAAGACGAACATTAAGACAATTTAGTCCCAAAGGGCTTTAAGAACTATCCATCATAGAGTCTCCCACTTGGTCCGTCAGATGTAATCAAAAGAGAAAAGCGTAGTGTCCAACTGTAAAAGGATTGAACACTAAACATGCAGTATGTCTTAAAATAGTAGGGTCATAACCTCTTTTTTATAAATCGTTTAATGATTTTAGTAAAAACAGCAGAAAAATTACCATGACCCAAAATCTTACGAAGTTTGTAAATCACATCGCCATAAAAACCAGGGGTTAGTATCTCGAAGCTATCGTTATATTTGCGTTTACGAACGTGCTAACGATTGACGGAAGGTTGGTTAACGAGAGATTAGCGCGGGTATCTCGAAACCGCTAGTTCAGCAATCGTTCGTTGCTTACTCGCTAGTTATTAAATATTGCGCTGTGTAATCATTTCATTACCACGGATATCGTGTGTAAATACATGGACAGAATGGCCGAATCAAAACGTAAGCCGAGATATTCAATAGACGAATTGCAAATACTAGCACAAGAGGTAAATACACATAAAAATATTCTCTTTGGTAAATTCAGTGATGTCTTGTCAATGGAAAAAAAGCAAAAGGCATGGGCAGAAATAACGAGATGTATAAATGCTGTTTCACAGACCGTCCGAACGGTAGATGATATTAGAAAAAAATGGAACGACTGGTCGAGTGTTACTAAAGGAAAGGCGGCAAAGCGGAGGCAATCTTTAAACAAGACTGGCAGCGGACAGCCTGATACTAAACCACTGACTGAATTAGAGGAACTCGTAGTTTCTATAATTGGCGAGACTGCCGTAGGTGGATTTAAGGGAGGGATAGATACAGCTCTTGTTTCTGAAGAAGCAGACTTTTGCGCCGATGAGGGTAAATTAGAGTCATCAAGTTACGATCATGCTAAACCGGAAAGTTACGATCATGCTAAACCGGAACATAGTCTCATACTCACACGACACTTGCAGTATCCGGTCTGTCTGTCGTCTAGCAGTATAGACCTGTCATGCGATGAAAATCCTGATTGCCTTGATAATATCAGTTGTGCTAATAAACCTACGAAAACGATTCCTTTTAAAAAGAGAAAAGTCGTTGCAACTGCATCTGCTGAAAGCTATGAAACTGACGTAACTTCAATTGAGAGAGAAAAACTTAAGATAGACAATGCACGACTAGAAACTGAGGAAAAACGTCTAGAAATAGAACAACAAAGACTGAAAATTGAGCAGCAACGGCTGCAAGTGGAGACAGACATTTTGAACATTCTACTTTGTCAAGGCCAATATTCTAGCCGAGCATCATCTCAATACCCGGCACAAAACCTGGGGCACGATAACTCTACCTCATTCTTCCGGCTATAGCCACATGTTGTTTAAGGGTGTAAGTATACTGTCAAGATTTAAACTTGAAAATGTTGCTCACAAATTGCAAATATCTAAATGAATATTTATAGCGAGCACTTAGTAGTTTCGTAGTTTCTATTTTAAATAGTCTGTTCATTTAAACACATATGAGGACAATAAATTAAGATTATAAAGGTAGTCCATAAGTTTGCTTTAGTATACAATGTAAAAGATGAATATATACTGGGATAAGCAAATAATAATAACTTTTTTAAAAGTTTACCATCAAGACACATATGTACACAACTTTTTTCGAAACCCCGCTAGCTACATAGCTGCAATGACGCCATGTGCATAACAATGACGTTATGAGCAAAACAATGACTTCATGAAATGTATTTTGAATTTTTATGATACCGCACGTTTGTAACGTCGAATTTCATTGGATAAACATGACAATTATATTATTAGTTATAAAGGTTTTTTAACAAGTTATAATTATGGCACTATTTTAACGTTGTTTGGAAATATATGGTTATATATTGCGGCTCGGGTGATATTTACAGACAACCGTTTATATAGGGTCATATAATCTTTATAACTGATAATATACACGGCTGCTGTTAATTTATGGATGAATTTTCATTTGTCTTAAATCAAAATTATAATAGTTAAAATTTAACAGCTGGTGTTCGCGAGTGAAATATATTTCATTCGAAAAGTTAAACAAACTAAATTATATATCATTGATGCCTTTTTGTTATACTTATTTTAGCGGCGTAACAATATAATGCACTTTTCTTCATGATGTCATTAAATCATTACGTCACAGTGTCGTTTCTTTATAATTCTGTAAAATAAATCGGATGTTTGTTACATTTTCAACATGATGTATGCAGATATTTATTTATATTTGCAGATATTTATTTATATTTTCTTGTTTTAACACTTCTAAGAACGGTCGAAGATTTAGCTAGCGTGTGAAAACATCTCCCGAATAAGGTTATCGCGAACCTGTCTACCATCATCGTTGTTGTTGTTTTCTCTATAATTTTCATTGTTGTCGTCACCATTGACGTCACTGTCATTGTCGTCATCTTCATGGTTTATTTTGTCATCAATCAGAGGCAAATTTCTCGAAATACACATGTTGTGAAGGACTGCAACTGCAGTAATAATCTTAGCACATTTTATCGGGGTGTAAAATATGATAAACAAGATCAACAAGGAAAGGCGGCGTTCAATGAACGCAACCCCCACATGACCCAGTAAGTCATGTATCCACCTGACTTGTTGAGACACTTGAACCTCATTTTCCAAATGCCAAATGTACGTTCGATTACACAACGTGTACGTTTGTGAGCAACATTAAATCTCCTTTCAGCCTCTGTATTTGCAGTAAGTAATGGCGTAAGTAAGTATGGTTTTAACGGATACGTACTATCACCCAAAATCCATGTATTTTGTAAATTAATTTTTTCGATCTTGCGACGCATTCACAGTTATTCCATATAAATGCATCGTAAGTCGACCCTGGCCAACGAACAACTATATTTGTGAATAAATTGTCGCCATTACATACAGCCTGGACATTTATTGCATGGTATCCCTTTCTTGTCACATACAAATGCTCATCGTCAGTTGGTGACTTTAAAGGTATGTACGTACCGTCGACGGCACCAATTACATTTGGAAAACCGCCTATTTCATAGAATCGTTGCTTTGTATTTATTTCAGTACGTGAAGTCGGAAACTTAATTTGTTGGGGAACTTGTCTAATAAGTGATTCAGAAACCGCGTGAATACTTCTTGAAACAGAGTGAATAGACACTCCATGACCATCCGCGAGGACTGACTGAAAGCTGCCGGTTGCATAGTAACGCAGAGCGACAAGTACCTGCAGCGACACCGGAAGAGACTGACTTCGTCTTGTTAGTCTAAGAAGTTGTTGCTGGGTTTGTGCCCTGTCCTGTTTTTGTTTGGGGCCCCCCTGGGCTCCTTGCCATTGGTTCTTGTTGCTGAGTCATGTGGGGGTTGCGTTCATTGAGCGCCGCCTTTCCTTGTTGATCTTGTTTATCATATTTTGTGCACATATTTCAAGAATGGTGATTCTATCCAACCGATATTTCTTTAAAAGCTCATGATCGGTCATCACGTCGAAGGGATTCATACGATCTCTAAATATCCGGGGAATATTGCGACGTCTTCTGTTGCCGTCACCTCCAAAAAACACGAGCCATCTGAAATTGTGAAAACGATAAGTGAATAAAAATAAAAAAAAGTTCAGTAAGAAATGTTTGAATTCATAATGTCGTTACCCTATGATTAAAAAATATTTTACCTCACGGATAGGAATTGCAGTCACGATACAAAAGACAAAATCTTACCTTTGCTAGTTTGTCTACTTTAATTATCTGTGTTTTATACAAGTTGTTTTCTGTGTATTTAAAGTAGAAGCATACTTACTTTTGTGTCAAAGTGATAGTAACGAGAGCTTTACGACACCCTCTTGGCATCCGTTAATAATTGGGCATATTAACGATTATTCGTTAATAACGAGAGATTCGAGATAGTAGTGAAAACCTTAACCAGAGGCTTACGATAGTCGTTATGCTAACGATAGCTTCGAGATACTAACCCCAGACTGGCTAATTCCTTGTCGCAGAAGAGTTTTTAAATTATTGAATTTAGAAATTAAATCAAAGTTACGATTGTAAAATTTAGTAAAATATTTCCATAATTTATGATAGCGGTAGCCCTATTTTAGAAGCTTGCTTGTAATAAATATATTCCGCTCGTTGAAATCCTTTACGTTGCTACAAGCTCTAGCGAATCTTATTAACTGGGAAACATATACCCCGTAAGATGTTGCATTGGGTACGTCTTCATCTAAATGTGGATAATTAACTATACAAAAGTCAAAGTCATCTCTTTTATCATAGATTTTCGTGTGAAAAGAATTGTTGTTGATAGTTATATGAAGATCCAAAATTGATGTACTAAAATTTCAAGAGTTCGTTTTTTAAAAAAAATTATAAAGTTAAATGTTAAATGTTAAATGTCAGACACCATTTGATCAAAGTAAGAATTATCTAAATTAAAAATATCATCAAGGTATCTGGAAGTATTATTAAATGCGACAATAACATCTTGTTGTTTATCTTCAGAGAGACTCAACATAAAGTCTCTTTCAAAGCAATACAAAAACAAATCGGCGACCACGGGTGCACAATAAGTACCCATGGGAATTCCTATGATCTGTTTAAATAGGGTAATAAATGTTGTCTAAAAGAAAAGAGAGTGCTCTACAAACTTCGTCACAGGTCCACATAATATAATGTTTAACAATACCGTTAGTAAAAAAAAACTTATTCATTATCCCTCATGTACAGACTCAATCAAATTTCATGTAATTTTGTTGCGATTAATGCTTCCGAGGGATCACTTTGTTTCCAGATTTTTATACTTCACAACAGCAGGTGTCTAGTGCTGTGTGGCAGCTGTAACAAGCAATTATCATAGTATTGCAAGCAATCCATAAGTCCCCTACCGGTTAGAAAATTCTGGAAACAAAGATCTCGATCAACATTCTGAAGGGCCATTGGCCATTCACTAATGTTTCAATTTTCTCTATTTTAAGTAAACTTGTTGGAAAAGTTCTTTAAAAGTGATCACAGGAAACAGTTTTTATGAACAGACACACGGACTGAAGGACACTCTAAAGTTAATATTTGAAACATCCCTGTTACCAAAATATAACATTTTAAAAGCAAAATTCTTAAAGAGGAGATAACTCTTGAATTAAAGATGCAATTTCATAAAAATTTTCAGCTCTTTTTGACTAATCACAAATATTGTTATATTTGCCATGTTTTAAGCCTATTTGTTGCCAAGGCAACTGATATTTTTTCAAAATAGGAAGAACAGATAAGACATGCATAATCTCAAAATAGATAAATACAGAATCCCTAAAGAAAGCCCAACACGGCAAAATTGAAAATATTGCAGGCTCGGTTTGATTGAGCCTGTTCATGACCGGTACTGGAAAGTGCAAGTTACCGTCCACGCCCCCTAGCACCGGCTTAAGCAGAATTCAACATTTAAACATGCAATAGTAAAATTTTGAATTTAGAAACATCCGCAGATGTGTTCATACGGCGGTAATCATGGAACCTTCAATGTGACACTTCCGTGCCATTCCATGAAAAGCGGCGTATGGTCCCCAAGTAATAAAAAGACTGCTATCTACCCATATGTCGAGTTTCATAAAAATATTTCCAGTACTTTTTGAGTTATCACTGGATTCAGTTTATGTGTAAAATTTGCCATATTTTCAGTCTATGTGTTGCCATAGCAACCAGAATTCTCAACATAGGAAGAAAAGAAAAAGACGTGCATAATCTCAAGACTGCCATCTACTCATATGTCAAGTTTCATAAAAATATTTCCAGTACTTTTTGCTTTATCACTGGATCCAGTTTATGTGTAAAATTTGCCATATTTTCAGCCTATTTGTTGCCATAGCAACCGGAATTTTCAACATAGGAAAAAAAAAAAAAGACGTGCATAATCCCAAGACTGCCATCTACCCATATGTCAAGTTTCATAAAAATATTTCCAGTACTTTTAGCGTTATCACTGGATCCAGTTTATGTGTAAAATTTGCCATATTTTCAGCCTATTTGTTGCCATAGCAACCAGAATTTTCAACATAGGAAGAAAATAAAAAGACGTGCATAATCTCCATACTGCCATCTATCCATAAACCAAGTTTCATAAAAATATTTTCAGTACTTTTCAAGTTATTGCGGGATCCAGTTTTGTGGACTGACAGACAGACGGACTGACAGACGGACGGAGGGTAAACCTAAAGTCCCCTCCGGTAAACCGGTAGGGGACTAAAAAGTTGCCCCATACTTCACTTCAGTGTTGTTATATTTTTTGGTCCTTCGGAATCATTAATGCCAGCACGAATAGAGTACCGCTCAAGCCTGTGCTAGAGGGCGTGAGAGATGTTGCACTTATTCATTATCGCTCATGTACAGACTCAATCAAATATGATAAACAAGATCAACAAGGAAAGGAGGCGTTCAATGAACGCAACCCCCATATGACCCAGGCGGACCCCAAACAAAAACAGGACAGGGCAAAGACAGAAACCGAGTCTGCTATTTTCATGTAATTTTGTTGCGATTAATGCTTCCGAGGGATCACTTTGTTTCCAGATTTTTATATTCACAACAACAGGTGATAAGTGCTGTGTGGCAGCTGTAAAAAGTTGCACCGTCCTTCACTTCATTGTGGTTATATTTTTCTGGTCCTTCGGGATCATTGATGCCAGCACTATTAAGTGTTGAGAATAGAGTACCGCTCTAGCCGGTGCTAGGGGGTTATGGGATGTTGCACTTATTTATTATCCCTCATGTACAGACTCAATCAAACCAAAAAATATGAAAAACAAGATCAACAAGGAAAGGCGGCGTTCAATGAACGCAACCCCCATATGACCCAGCAACAAGAACCAACGGCAAGGAGCCCAGGCGGACCCCAAACATAAAAAGGACAGGGCAACGACACGTTAATCATTAAATTATAAATAATTTGTAACTGATTAGGAATTCAAAGAAAATAATAATAGGCCCACAAAGGGGAAAGTCTACTATTTTCATGTAATTTTGATGCGATTAATGCTTCCGAGGGATCACTTTGTTTCTAGATTTTCATTGAACGCTGCCTTTCCTTGTTGATCTTGTTTATCATATTTTACACTTACACCCACATATATCGCCAAGCTATTGCTGTAACTTTGAACATATTATAGCAAAAATATTATCAGCACCATTATTCCTGAAAATTTGTTTGTTTGGTTTTACGGTGCACCAACACAAGAAAGATAAAATGGTGCATAAACAGGAAAATGACTTCGGCAAACCCCCAGTGTTACAAAGTGCAGGCTTCATAACCTCTGATCCCCTTTCAAAATTCCATTTTATTTAGTTCCGCCCATTGTTTTCTCGTTTAGGGCACACGCTTTTTATTACTTGGGGACCATACGCCGCTTTTCATGGAATGGCACGGAAGTGTCACATTGAAGGTTACATGTTAACCGCCGTATGAACACATCTGCGGATGTTTCTAAATTCAAAATTTTACTTATTCACGTTTAAATGTTGAATTCTGCTTAAGCCGGTGCTAGGGGGCGTGGACGGTAATTTGCACTTTCCAGTACCGTCCATGAACAGGCTCAATCAAACCGAGCCTGCAACATTTTCAATTTTGCCGTGTTGGGCTTTCTTTAGGGATTCTGTATTTATCTATTTTATAATTAACATTAACAGATATGTCAAATATTAAGTATAAAGCAGCTTTCAAATTCAAAATTTTACTATTTCATGTTTAAATGTTGAATTCTGCTTAAGCCGGTGCTAGGGGGCGTGGACGGTAACTTGCACTTTCCAGTACCGTCCATGAACAGGCTCACAGTACCGTCCATGAACAGGCTCAATCAAACCGAGCCTGCAACATTTTCAATTTTGCCGTGTTGGGCTTTCTTTAGGGATTCTGTATTTATCTATTTTTATAAATTTGTGACAGCAGGTGTCAAGTGCCGTGTGGCAGCCGTAAAAAGTTGCCCCGTACTTCACTTCAGTGTTGTTATATTTTCTGGTCCTTCGGGATCATTGATGCCAACACTATAAAGTGTTGAGAATTGAGTACCGTTCAAGCCGGTGCTAGGGGGCGTGAGTGATGTTGCACTTATTCATTATCACTCATGTACAGACTCAATCAAACCGAGTCTGCAATTCTTATGTTATTTTGTTGTGATCAATGCTTCCGAGGGATCACTTTGTTTCCAGAATTTTGTACTTCACAACAGCAGGTGTCAAGTGCCGTGTGGCAGCCGTAAAAAGTTGCCCCGTACTTCACTTCAGTGTTGTTATATTTTCTGGTCCTTCGGGATCATTGATGCCAACACTATAAAGTGTTGAGAATTGAGTACCGCTCAAGCCGGTGCTAGGGGGCGTGAGTGATGTTGCACTTATTCATTATCACTCATGTACAGACTCAATCAAACCGAGTCTGCAATTCTTATGTTATTTTGTTGTGATCAATGCTTCCGAGGGATCACTTTGTTTCCAGAATTTTGATTTTGATATCCAAATGTATTATATTGCCTGGATTAATGTAGAAAAAAAACATGATATGATAATGGGTACCTCTTTCTGTTATATTAAGCTCTTGAAAATTAAACTTAGAAGAGACACCATTTTCATGTTAAATGTTGAATTCTGCATAAGCCGGTGCTAGGGGGCGTGGACGGTAACTTGCACTTTCCAGTACCGTCCATGAACAGACTCAATCAAACCGAGCCTGCAACATTTTCAATTTTGGCGTGTTAGACTTTCTTTTTCCCTATCTTAGAAATTTCACATATATTTCTCTATAATGGTCTGTTTGTGTTATTATTTCATGTTTAAATGTTGAATTCTGCTTAAGCTGGTGCTAGGGTCGTGGA